ATGAATTACCAGCTATCTCACTGCAAATCCAGAAATTATTATAAAGATTAGGGCTATGTGTTTTTTTTGAATGACATCAAATTCAGTAAAAAGTCTTCATGAAACAAGTAATAATGTACTTGCCAGTCTTCTCTTATTTGCAGGACAGTGGTTTTTGTACAAGTTGGGTAAAACAAGTTTAAGACTTATTTGTTCCTTAATACATGCTTAACATTTATAGTCTAGATATTTCCTAGTGTGCTTAAATACTCCTTTTAAATACTTTTAAAAGGCTTACTCATCAGATTAACACATATATTGTGGTTGTTTTTTTTTTGGTCGTGCCACATAGCATACCGGATCTTAGTTCCGTGAGCAGGAATCCAACCCCTACCCCGGCAGTGGAAACACAGAGTCCTAACTACTCAGCCACTGGGGAAGTGCAGTGGTGTTTCTTTTTTAACATAAATCAAAAGGAAATTATGTACAGCAAAATAGTTATGTGAGTTGTTAATTTCAAGTTCCTTATAAATGATATTCTTATCTCTTGAGATGTTTCTGTTAGAAAGTGTTAGTTGCTCAGTGGCATCTGACTCGCTGCAGCCCCATGGACTGTAACCTGCCAGGCTCCTCTGTCCTTGGAATTCTCCAGATAAGAATACTGGAGTGGATAGCCATCCCCTTCTCCAGGGGATCTTCCAAATGTTGCAGGCAGATTCTTTACCATCTGAGCCATCAGGGAAGTCACCTTAGAAAGACAGTTATTTTGAAAATGACTGGGGGAGGGATAATTCAGAAGGTTGGATTCACATACTACTATATATAGATAATCAACAAGGACCTACTGTATAACATAGGAAACTATATTCACCATCTTGTAATAACCTATCATGGAAAAGAATCTGAAAAAGAATAGATCTAGGTATTTATGTATAACTGAATCACTGTCCTGTACACTTGCAATTTACCCAGCATTGTAAACCAACTATATGCCGATAAAAACTAAATAATTTTTTTAAAAATCTGAAGTAATGTTTTGATTTTATGCATTCACCCAACCAGCTGATTGAAAATGACTTCATAATTGCCAGGTCCAGGGAGAGCTGCTTGGTTTTCACCCTCTTTGGTCCTCTTTGGCGTGGGTGATCTGCCCACTTCTGCTTGGGTGGACCCTGCCCCCCCCCCTTTTCTCTTGATTCTGTGTCATCTGTCACAGTGATTTTTCCTGCTACTTCCCTGACAGCTCCTTTTCAGGCTGTTTTTGTTAAAAGTTCTTCCTTCCTGCCCACACTTGAGATGCTGTGGTTTCCTGGCATCCTCAGATGTGCTGGGATCCTGTATCTATATTGCTTCCCCACTGAAACTCCCAATAGCCACCCTGTAGGCTGCAAACTCAGGTGCCCGTGTGGGCAAGTGATGGAGGTCAATGAAGATCTGGGTACTAAAAAAAAGTACCATAGAAACTACACAGGGGGTTTTAAAAACTGGAAGGAGGATGTCCCCTGGCCTAGCCTCCATTTCCATGAAGGAGTGAAGGCCATCCTGACCTCAGGTAGTGAACGATCTATGTGCCTGCCACACAGGTGCTGGGTGAGGCTGAGTGAGAGAAAGGCCCCTCCTCTCCTGGAGTGGATGCCAGTTCTGCAGACCTGAGCCCGCAAGGAGTCACACCAGGGCAAAGGATACTCAGTATGACCAGATGTTCAAGTTTGTTTTAAGAAAGCCTGAAATTCAGATTTTTCTGTGAAATGAAACTTTTTCAAATGGTGATTTGCAGGCAAGAAAAGCCAACTATCTTATGATTTCATGTATAGGTGGAATCTTAAAAAAAATGATATAAATCAGCTTGTTTTCAAAATAGAAATAGACTCACAGACATAGAGAACAGAATTAAGGTTACCAAATGGAAAAGAGTAGGGGTGGGAAGGGGCAGGAAGGGGTGATGGGAGATAAGTCAGGAGGTTGGGATGAACATACACACGACTGTGCATAAAACACATAAAACCACAAGGACTGATGGTAGAGCACAAGGAACTCTACTCAGTATATTGTAATAATCTATAATGGAAAAGCATCCGAATATATATATATATATGTGTGTGTACATATATATAAAACTGAATCACTTTGCTGTACACTTGAAACTATCAGGTTATAAATTAACTATTCTTGAATTAAAAATGAAAAAAATACAGGTAGTGCCTAAAAGATTAATTAATTAAATGTTGGCCTAAATATTTTAAAGCAGTGTAAAGTGAAGTGAAGTTGCTCAGTCGTGTCTGACTCTTTGCGACCCCCTGGACTTGTAGCCTACCAGGCTCCTCTGTCCATAGGATTTTCCAGGCAAGAACTCTGGAGTGGGTTGCCATTTCCCTCTCCAACAGTGTAGAACCTCTTTACACTGTGCTTCCCTGTTTTCAACCCTGGTCTAAAAAATAACTTTCTCACATTCGACCCTGGAATCCCAAGGTGGTCTCACCTACACCTGTCCTCCCAGCTTGGGCTCCGTCCTCTGCTCACAGACAACCAGCCAGGCCCTGGGGTTCCTCTGTTTCATCCTCAGGATTGTGCTTCTTGCTAGAATGCATTCCCCCACCTCTTCCCCTGGCAGCCCAGATGCTCCCTTGTAAGCCAACCCTAATCTCACCGTGTAGGGTTTCCCTCACCCTGCCAGCGTTCCACAGTGTTGTTCCCTACGCACTCTCATTAGAGCAGCCGCCAGTGTTTGATGGACTTTGAGCCCACAGAGGCTGTGGTTTCATATTTGTACCCTGAGAATCTAGCCCAGCACTTTGTACCAAGTCCGTGCTTCACAAATACTCACAGAATGATTGACCAGCCTGAAATCAGCTCTCTGCAAACTAGTCCTGGTGGTGACTTCTATCAGCTAGCTTCCCTCCCAAGCACAGAGCAAACATACTCTGTGAATAGCAGCTTTGTTCCACATGGAAACAATCTTGATATAAACATTACTCTTTGATCTAAAATGCTGGTTATCAACTTTTGTACCAGATAGGTCTGAAATAACCACCCAGTCTGTTTTACCCCCATCTTCCCTGTGCCCCACTTACTGGTCCCACCACACACTTAGAGCAGGCTCCTGGGATGGTTGTCCTGAGGAGGCTTATGCATTTGTAATTTATAACCCGGACTTGTCATGTGATAGAGCAGAAGTACTCTATCCCTTTGGTATTTGAGTTTTCTTCACATTTATGCTTTCAAACTCTCAGGGTTATAGGTATGGGGTAAGGATGTGCCGGGTAGGGATGTGGGGCAAACTGTTAACGCTTTCGGCGCTGCTCAGGAACTGTTCCATTTCCCTTTTTTCAAAACATCCCTGTGAGTCAGATTGCACTACCCTAATTTAAGGACAAGAAAAATGAGGCTGGAACAGGTATAGTTACCATTAGAGAATTGTGGCTAATTATTTAGAATAGAATTTATAAGTATAATTGGTTTGTTATGCACTTTTTATTTTTTCAACATTTTTTTCTTCTGTAAATTCTATACTATGCAAAATATATTAATTTTTGTTGTCTGGTACATACTTGTTTTAGACTTTCTTAAAAAAAAAAATCTACCAATAGTTTTCATCCATGCCAGACCTCCTGGAAGAAAAATTTGGCAACGTGCTATGAATTCTGAAATGCATCATAACAATGATCCTCTATTTATATATGCAGTTGTTTAAAAATAGATATAAAGGTCTACATGCTATGTAAAGTTGAAATAACAACAGTAATTTATATTAAAATAATGCATTTAAGTGAATAGATACACATGTCCAGTTGCACAAAAAATAAAATGAAGTAGTCAGATGTTTGTATCTTTTAAGTAACAGACTCATTGTGTATATGATAGCTATGGTAATAGACTAAATGGGTATGTCTAATTGTTTTCATCGTGATGCAGAGTATAAGCCATGTTCCTGTTAGTGGTTTGATTCTCTAGAATAGTAACTCTTGTTCCAAAGCATAGACACTCCCTTCAACTTATTTGATAGTTGAATGTCTAGAAAACTGGGCTTAAACTAAACCTTTGAAACATATTTGCATATGTATGTGAGACAGTATTGTGTTCCAGATTCAGATGGACAGTAGCAAGAATGTTGCTTATGTGAATGTCCAGTGAGCTGTTTAACAGGCCTGAAGGGCCTTTTCAGGCCATTTGAAGGATTCTCCTGTGTTGGGTGTCCAGGGACCTTGCCCTCCTCATCTGCCATCATTGAGACAGCCTAAAATGCCTCTACACATTTCTGGAACATTCTGTAAGGCAACTCTGCTCTCTATGAGTACCACTGATCAAAACCTTCAAACCCAAGGTAACAGTGGTTAGAAAAATATAAGCCATTCACTGCTTAGGTTTAAGATGCCATATGTAATGCAATGTAAACTAGAACCACAAGAGGATTGATTCCTTTCTTTAAGAGTTTTACAGCCTAGCCAACTAGATGGATCACTTGCATATATGTAGTTAAATGTTGAAAATATGTGTTTGACAGAAAGAGAAAGATGTCTGTGAGCTGAAGACACACAGAAAGGTCTCACAGAGGCAGTGTAGTATGGAGTGGGATTTGGAGAATACGTATATAATGAAGAAGCTCTAGAAAAGCTTGGACAAAGATGAGGATAGGGAGCAAGGAGTCTGACCAGGTGAAGGAGTTACTGCTGGAAAGTGTTGGACAGTAATCATGGAAATCAGGAGTAGAGCAAAACTGTTATATCCAAATGGAAATTAAACTGAATAATTCATAAATTGAATATCAGATACATTGTTGCTTCATACAAAATATCTAAGTTTGATGTGGCTGTTTAGTGAATTTGGAGCTCCTTACCAACAAGACTGGAGGGCTTAGAATAGAAGACTCATATTTCTTTAATTGAGTATGCTTTTTCAGTTGTGTCTCATCTTTGGCATATTTTATTCTATTTACACAGTTAAATTTGAGATGCACTCACTCCCTCGAATTCCTAAAATAACAGATCATGGTTTTATGTCTCTTTTCTCCTGGTCTCTTGCAGGTATGATTTTGTAGAGGTTGAAGAACCAAGTGATGGAACCATTTTAGGGCGCTGGTGTGGGTCTGGCAGTGTGCCAGGAAAGCAAATTTCTAAAGGAAATCAAATCAGGATCAGATTTGTATCTGATGAGTATTTTCCCTCGGAGCCCGGGTTCTGCATCCACTACAACATTGTCATGCCAGTAAGTACCACTTAGAGATGCCCCTATGTATACAGATCAGACTTGCTTATTTCTTTTTCCCCTCTTAAACATGAGATTAAGGAAAACCAAGAACCAAAAACCTTCTCTTGCTTGATGTTTTTTCATAAGTGTCACTATAGTTCTCACAAATAACTTGTGTGTTGTCACTTTAAATCATTAGTGTTTGTATTGCCTCAAAAGTAGGTGCTTTTATGTGATGTTTTACTTTTTCTCCCCCATTAAGGTGACATTGTTCTTTCTACTCCTTTCCATACCCACCAAAAGTTGGTTTTTTAGACGGGTTCCTTATAAATACATGCATGACATTTTTCATCTTTTTTTTTTTTTTTGGAAAACGGTAAACTCCCTAGTGGCTCAATAGTGAAGAACCCACCTTCCAATCCAGGAGATGCGGGTTCAATCCCTGTGTTGGAAAGATCTCCTGAAGAGGGAAATGGGAACCCACTCCAGTGTTCTCACCTGGAAAATCCCCATAGACAGAGAAGCCTGGTGGGCTACAGTCCACGGGCACACACAAGAGTCACACACGACTTAGCAACTGAGCAACAACAAAATGTGTTAAATATTCTTTTCAAATCAAAGTTTCATTAAAATATATTTTTAAAAGCAGTAATCTCGATTTTCCTACTTATCTTAATGTTTATCCTGTTAAATAATATTTATGTCCTTTGTGCCCCAAAAAGGAAGTTTCAAAATTCTTACAGGAATTTAAGAAAATCTGTTTTCTCTGATTGTAATTATTACTCTTTTCATTTGTGTCACAATATCTTGTACCCTTTATTTTATGTATTATTGTAAATATTTGTATCTATTTATTGCTGTGTAACAAAAGTGTTGAAATCATTTTGGCTATTTTTATCCCATTCTACTTATAATAGTAATTCAGAAGTACAAATGTGATGCCCCCTAGTATACTACTCAAATATGTTCAGTATCACCACTTAAAACAATATAAAATTGATATTGTTAATGGGTTTTACAGATTTAGCAAATCGTTGCACACTGGGAGAACAGTATGGTGTGAATTACATGCATTAATTGATATGCATATCCCAACTGTTTATAAAAGAGTGTACCTAGCACACTAGCAATTCATGAGGTAATTTAGAAATATAGAATCAATATTTTGCTTAATATATTTGTATTATAACATTAAACAGAAGTTTCCCTTTTTGATTACCCACACTCAATTCTGTGAAATACTATTTAAGCCACTGATTAAATTGTGAAATTGTTATTTGAGATACATTTGAAAAGAAATAACAAAATTTAAATTAAAGCTGGAAAGTGATCATTTTATTTATTTAGTAGCAGAATTGTTTATTGTGTGCAATTTAAGATAAGGGAGATATTTCTAAAATATATATTATGAATTTTATATGGTGACTTTTGATCAATCTCTTTATATAGATTATTTAAGATATCTTTATCTTAAATATACAGTAGCTTTAATAAAATTTAATAATTTCATCTAGAAAAGTGTTAATGGTAGACAAAGATGAACTTATTTAAAAACACATTGATACTGTGATTATTTGTTTGAATGAAACCACTAAGTATTTGTTTATCATCCTTTCACAGTACTCTGCTTCACAGAATTTGTGAGTTAATATTTGTTTTAAGTCTATAATAGCCTTAGAAGCCATGGCTACACTTTCACAAAGTTATATAGTACATATTTTCAGTTTGGGTTTTAGCACAACTAATGTTTTTAAATATTTAAATATAAAACAATCAAATTTTACTATAAAACATAATGATAGATCCTGAATCATATAAAAGATTTGATTTACCCCAAACCTGTAACAAAAATAAACTTGAAACTGCGAAGTTATTTGTGTTTTAAATCAGCTAGCATCTTCGTATTATGTTGATAGCAACCTATTATCATCCCACAGAACAAGACATGAAAGTGAAAACATATGTAGGCCAACACCAAGGGTTGTTTTTTTCTGATTTTGTGGTCTCGTGAGTTATCTGGTTGTGTAACCCATGCAGTTGTGTGTAGGAAATTAAATATATAAAGGCAAAAACAGGAAATGTACAATGCCTCATTTAGTCCCAGCCTCGTTACAGTTTTTCAGTAAGTGGCTGGGCACGGAGTTGACCATGCAACTCAGTCACCCCGGCTTAACTTGTAACAGCAGCTTCACTGACACTTGTGTTTCTATGTGAAAGTGTATGTCAGATTCCTGAGCCTGGAGATGAGACAAAGACATGTAGATGATCTTCTGTAAGTACCACCCATCCTCTGGACCAGAAAGGGTCTTGCCCCCTGAATTTGACTCATTACCAGAGATTCACTGTGACTAACACCAGAACTTCATCTGCAAGATTCTGGGTGGAAAGGGTATCAATCACTGATCGCATCATCAAAATTGAACTCAGTGCATTTTTAGATCATTATTGAAATAGCTGGATGAATTGTAAACATGGACTTTGGGGGCTGGGGGTTGACAAACTTCCTGGGCTCTGTTGAGCTCTATCTTTCTTGGTATCTAAGTTGCCCAGTGATGGCTACCTGGGAAAAACAACACAGGAGCGCTTATTCCAGTTTACTTTCTGCTTAGAAAGCCAGCAAGCTAGGGACAGAGAAACAAGAGAACAGGACAGTGGTTCCTGCATTGCCTTATGTGATGCGGTGATTTCAATCTTGCCAGGTTGCTCTCTGGAGTGATCATTGGTATATGAATTGTACCATGTCACAAGCTTTCTTTCAGGTTTAAGTTTACTCTGACAGTTTATCTGCCATTCCTTCATTTGTCCTTTGTCTTACTTGCATGCACCCATCTCTCTTCCCATGCAGCCACACCCATTCTGCTCTCAATAACTGCCTGAAGTTGCTAGGTGAAAATTTGACAAGTAATTTTGCTATGCAGCCTCATGGAGTGTTTTGAATTATCACCATGCATCGCTAACTGCACCCCTCCCTGCCCGTCCCTCTGCCCCCTTGCATCCTTGCCAACAGGACAGCATCCATCAATCTTATCTGTGTCTCAGTGAAGGAAAGCCTCAGGGGGAAAGCTTGCCTTTTGGAGCATAGGCTTTAAAGTTCTGTGGCATTTGCTTAGGGGCAAGTGCTCCTCTGAACTCCTGGATCATCGCTCATACTTTTTTTTCTTCTTTTTTTGCCAGAGATAAACTTCATGATTAGCTCCCCCAGCTCCCCAGAAGCCATAGTCCCACTGACTGCAAACTCATCAGCGCAAGGTAGAGCCAAGAGGCCCCTGGCCTGATGGCTTCTCAGTTTTATACTGAAGACATGATATTCAGCACGGGTCCTGAGTGGGCTCTGAACTTCGTGCCTTGAGGTTTGTCGTTGTGAGGCTGCTCAGTGGAACCTCATCCTCCATTGCCCCTGGAGGGGATCTGAGCCCCATGGAGCTGCCTCATTTACTGTATGTTCCACAGTAGTGATGATTCATAAACCAGAAAACTGAACAGTCAGGTATGACACCACATATTCTCCTTGGCCTGGTGTATTATGTTCTATTGCCAAGGATCATGATGCTTGCCCTCCTTAAAGAATGGAATTGGCATCTTCTTTTTTGGTTGGAAACTAGACATCCAAGTAGTTAAATTAGTGCCTACTTATGATGTCATGTGCATTGATGTCCATAACCATCTTTCCTGCTTTTTAATAATTATCTGAATGAATATTTTGCATCTTTTCATACATCGAAAAACTGTTGAGTGTGATAGCACTTTTTCTGGGATAATTATAAAGAAAGTTTATTTTAATATCTTTTGTATTTAACAAATAAGACTGAACTCCGCAATCCTTTTTTGGGAGCTTGAATGGATATTGGATTCTAGTCAGCCTTTAAAATTCCGTGGCTCTGATCACCATACATCTTAGCAGGAGAGTTTTAATGCATTCGTTAAAATTCTCAGAAGCAGTTATTGTCACACATATTTCCATTAACAATTTTGCTTACCTTTGTAAGATGATTTACCCACTCTTTTTCACTCCACTAGTGAATGAGAGCGTATAGTGAAACAAGGGATCCCTTAACTATTGTGAACAAAGTGATGCTGGTCTGGGTCTTCCACCTTGTAGGCAGATTCTTTACCATCTGAGCCACGAGGGGAGTCCTTAGTATATTTTACATATATTGTATATAGATATTGTTTCCTTTGTAATATTATACTTTCAATACTTTTTTCTTGATTCCCAGTTACCTTAGACTAAGACATAAATAAAATTCATCTTCCCATTTTGCTCTTTCAAGTAGATATGGTGACTAAGTGTTAGTTTAAGAAAAAACTTAGCATAAGATATTTACCTGAAATTACATGGCTGGTTGTTAATAGCTTAAAAAATACTAACAGATTGACTACACACATTAAAAATTTTAGAATCTTCATGCAGTTTTTGAGAATTATTTATGGAAATGTATATTCTCCAGTCATGCTCCATTAATAAGTAATGGAAAAGAAAACCAGGGCAAAGGATATATATTCAGCTTTCCAATGGTGCATAAGGAGTTAATAATGTCTTTGATTTTTGTTTCCTTTATGCTAGAAGAGAGGGGAAAAAGGCCGGTAGATTAGCAGTGAGAGATTGTTTGGGAAGAAATGAAGCAAAACTGAAATAAAACAGTGCAAGCTTGTTTCTGTTTGGAGGCCACACACATTGAGAGCCAGTGCACATTTCAGATCTCTTAGAAAGAAAAGAAAATTTCTTGTTTAATTTTGGAGTAATTTATAATAGAGTATGTATGTTTTACTGTGTGTACTGTAGTATAAGCACCATTATTTTAAAATGTTAAACCTACAAAGGCTGAAAAATAACATCTTTTCTCATATCAAAAACTTTGTTAAAAGTTTTATTTTTAAAAAAATCTTGGCCTTAATGTAAAATATGTATCATATTTTTTGTTATCCAAAAAACAATATTTACTATTAAAATATATATTTGTTGGGCAGTTACATCACAAAACCATACCTGTTTTTGAAACAAAATGCACAAATCCAGA